GTGGCTAAGGGGCCAGCCACGTACACCCAAGGTGGCAGGTTCGAATCCAGCCCAGGCCCACCAAACAAAAATGACAGCTGCAACAACAACAAAATAAATAGCCAGGCATTGTGGTGGGCGCCTGTGGTCCCAGCTACTTGGGAGGTGGAGGCAGGAGACTCGCTTGAGCCCAGGAGTTGGAGGTTGCTGTGAGCTGTGATGCCATAGCACTCTACCCAGGGGGACAGCTTGAGGCGCTGTCTCAAAAACAAAAACAAAAACAAAAAAATCCCTGAATCTGTGGTACTTTTATTATAGTAGCCTGAGTGGACTCATACAGAGACACAGGTACAGGGGACACCTCAGAGTGGAGACAAGCAGATGCAAATCCAACCTCCTCCAGCACATGTCAAGTCACAACTGTGGTAGGGTTACAGAGGAGGTGACACAGCAGACAGGAGGCATTGACTACTCAGAGGGAGACTTAAGAGACTTCTGGGCAGTGGGCACTGTATGTGAGCCTGAGGGGACTAGTGGTCCTTGGGCACAGTCCAGGCCTCGGCCCTCCACTAGCCTCAAGAGAAGGGCAGCCCCTATCCTCTGTCCCCAGCATCTCCTCAGTCCTAGCCATCCCAAACAGTGCACTGTTTCCAAAAGCCAAGTCTGTCCCTGACTCTGGTCAAGCAAGTAGTTCCACTAGCTTTGAACCAGGGTCTCCCCATATCCAGCTCCTCCAAACCTGCAATTCTGAAGGGGGCTGGCGAGGCTAGGGTCTCTGTGTGGGACCATCTGGCCAGGCCGGGGGCCTGGGGTCAGTGGCCAGGGATCTACACACGGCCACTGGACAGAACAACAAAATTCAGAAGTCCCAGCAACTGAACACTACCAGGAGCCAGGGTCAAGTTCCGAGATGAGCTGCTAAGGATTCTCCAGAACTTCCTGGTCTGACCACAGGCCCTCCCTGCCTGCCTTGTTCCTGCCACCCTCCTTAGGCCCAGGCTCTAGCTTTCAGTCCTCAACACCTTGGCCCAAGCCAGGTGTCCCTTCCCTGCCACCTCTAAAGCACTGCTCAAAGCACTTCTTTGTTTGAGGCTGGTCAGGTGAAGCCACAGCTCCGCCTTGGCCATGTTAATCACCCTGTCTGGGCCTCATCCCCCCTGGCCCTTTAAGCCCCTGGGCCCTCCTCCAATCCCAATCAGCAGAGAGGGCACCAGGCTGTGAGGGTGAGAGCAGGCTGGGGCTGTGGGGTGGGCAGGGCAGCTGTTAGGCATAGAGGGCATGAGGGAAGGGGATGAGGCTCCAGAGCTTTTACCCAAATAGTTCAGGGCAGGGCTGCCTACTTGGCCAGAGGTGGTCACCTGGGGCTGGTATAGAACCTGGGCCACAGGGATGAGGTCAGGGTCAACCAGCAGCTGAAGGCAGATGAGATGGTACCCCTGGGCTAGGATGCTCTACTCTCCTCTCTGCCAGCTCCAGATCGGAGTCCAAGCCCTGGGCAGTGTTATTCTAACCCAGCCCAGCCCTGAAGACAGATGAGGGGGGTTTCCTGCCTCCAGATCCTGCTCCTGCTGGTGCTGGGTAAGTGGGGCTGGGGCTGGGGCTGCTGGCCACAGGGACCTGGGCTCTCAGGTCTCCCATCTCACTCCTCTCTGGGTCTGGTTCCCCTAGAGCACCCTGGAGGTTTCTAACCTTAATTCCAAAGTTTCTAGTCCTAGTTGAGTGAGGTGGCTCACACCTGTAATCCTAGCACTCTGGGAGGCTGAGATGGGTGGATCACCTGAGCTCAGGAGTTTGAGAACAGCCTGAGCAAAGCGAGAACCCATCTCTACTAAAAATAGAAAAACTAGGGCGGGTGGCAGAGCCTACAGTTCCAGCTACTCAGGAGGCTGAGACAAGAGGAACCCTAGAGTTTGAGATTGCTGTGAGCTATGACATCACAGCACTCTACCGAGGGCAACAAAGTGACCCTCTTGTCACAAATAAACAAGCAAATAAATAAAGTTCCAATTGTTTCTGCCACTAACTGTGGCTTCTTCAAACCCTGATGTGCTAGTCTGTGCAATGATCATAAGTTCCTCCTTAGACACCCCTACAACGCTCTAGAGAGAGTTAAATCTGGTAACAGATTGCAGAAAGCTTGACACAAGGTCAGAGCAACAAATATGTTGCACCCTCATTCCTAGTTTCTGATCTCCTTCCCCAACCCCGTTATTTGACCCCAATCCATAATACAGGCTCGGCACCCATTTCTCAGTGGTTAGGGTGCCAGCCACATACACCGGGGCTGGCGGGGTGGAACCCATCCCAGGCCTACAAAACAACAATGACAACTACAACAAAAAATAGCCAGGCGCCGTGGCAGGCGCCTGTAGTCCCAGCTACTTGGGAGGCTGAAGTAAGAGAATCCCTTAAGCCCAAGAGTTTGAGGTTGCTGTGAGCTGTGATGTCACAACACTCTACAGAGGGCCACATGGTTGAGAAAAAAGAAATCCATAATCCAGTTCTTTCCCTGCTTCCTCCTCCAGGAGCTGCTTGGACCGTAGGTAAGGAAGCCTCAGAGCCTGCCCGAGGAGGACATTGTCCCTGCCCTCCCTGTCCACACCTGCCTCCTACGCCCCCAGTCCTCAGCCAACCCTTGCTGCCCCCTCATCCTCTTGCAGCATGCGGACAGCCCCGCATGTCCAGTCGGATCGTGGGGGGCCGAGATGCCCAGGATGGAGAGTGGCCCTGGCAGGCCAGCATCCAGCACCGTGGGGCGCACGTGTGCGGGGGGTCGCTCATCGCCCCTGAGTGGGTGCTGACAGCGGCGCACTGCTTCCCCAGGTCAGCGCTTATGCAGGGCCCAGTCTGATGCGCCGGGAAAGCAAGGCCAGCGGAGGGTGGGGCGTCACCTGGCCGAGAAGCGGGGCGGTGCTGGCTCCAGCCAGCTGGTGAGGTTAGGGCCAGCTGGGGTCGCTTGGGTACAGTAAATAGTCCTTGATCCTGTCCTGCAGGAAGGCACTGCGGTCCGAATACCGCGTGCGCCTGGGAGCGCTGCGTCTGGGCCCCACTTCGCCCCGAGGGCTCTCAGCGACAGTGCGGCGGGTGCTGCTGCCCCCAGACTACTCTGAGGACCAGGCCCGTGGAGACCTGGCGCTGCTGCAGCTGAGCCATCCGGTGCCCTTGAGCTCCCGCGTAGAGCCTGTCTGCCTGCCTGCTCCTGGAGCCCGCCCAAGGCCCCGCACACAGTGCTGGGTCACTGGCTGGGGCAGTCTCCGCCCGGGAGGTAAGCCCCCTACTTCCCCAACTCCGGACACAGAGAGACTTTTAGGCACTCAAGCCTCCTCCCAGGCAGACCAA